TTGCTTTTTAATAAATGAGAGAGAATACAGCCAGTTTTTTGCTATGCAATGGCAGGGTAAACTACATTCCCCCCCCCCTCTTTGAGATCATGAATGAATAAGATTTCTCAAAAAATAGGTTCTTTTGATTTTCTACATGTAGAGATAATGCTTTAGGCAATTATTCTCATAATTATTCTCATAATTTGAAGCAATTTCCTAAAAATGAGCCCCAAGATCCACCGAGGGAGTACCAAATAACGAATACTTCTCAGGCCTGAGCGGAAAATTGAATCCTGGCCTCAGAATTAAGTTCCACTCAGTCTTGGACATAAATCTAAAAAACGCATCACTGGGTGGTCCACAACCTAAAATTCAAACTGTAAAACTGGGAACTTTAGAGGAGTTCTTTAGAGGCTAACGCTCCATTAGGAGTGTTCCCAACTTTGATATCATTAATGATTAATGATTAATGATTGATAATCCTAACCCTAACTCTAACCCTAACCTAACCCTAACCCTAACCCTAACCTAACCTATAACATAACCCTAACCATTAATGACATTAAAGTTGGGAACACTCCCAATGGAGTATCACCCTCTTTAGATATTATGTGAAATTATGTGCGCGAAGCACACATCACGAGTGCGAAGTGCGAAGTCCATTGTGGCTGGGGTTTTGTTGCTTGTAAGCTCAGGGGTTTTAGATGCTCTGTGGTGCAATCTGAGCCTTATTTCAGAGCATTTTTGCACAAAATTTATGACCTATATTTCAAAATAATTTGGATTTTAGTCTATTCTATTTCTTCATTGTCAATGATGCTACTGCTACTACGTGCAAGCGTTTGTTGTCTCCTCCTTGTTCTGTTGTTAGAAGGAATCTGATGAAATAGGCTGGTTATTGTGAGCTGTTTTTTATTCATAGCGGATTGCGAAGCGCTACGATATGAGGCTCAGGACAAGTGAAAGTCTATGTTGGACAAGTTGTTCGTTTGGCTAGTTGCCTGATTGGGCAACTAAAGAATTTCTAAACAAGTGCCGCAGTGCGACAGGGCTCATCTGGTGTCTGGTGTTCTGCTGATAAATTCATTTGTGCATAGCAAGACGTCTTATACATAGCCAATTCGAACAAATATATCCTACACTTTCACACCCACCTAATCTCTATGCATTGCAGACACATGTGCATTGCAGGTTGGCAGGCAATAATTATGAATTATTATAAAATT